TAAAATTAATCAACATTTTAAGTCGAGGCTTGAATTTTCTCTTCAATTCTTTCAGTTTGAGAAATGCTGTGTGTTCCTCCCTTTTGTTTTCTATCTCCAAGTCTTTGCACATTGTATTATAATACTTAACTTTGTCTTCTCTAGATGCCCTTGGAAATATTCTGTTCAGCTCTTTCACTTCAACATTACTTCCATTCACTTTAACATTTCCACACTGCAAAGCAAGTTTCAGAGTCTCTTCTGACATCCATTTTGGTCTTTTCCTTGTCTTAATGACCTTTTTCTTTTTTCAGATATGATATTCTTGTTTTCAGCCCACAACTCTTCTAATCTTTGGTCTTTAGTGTCTAATACATCAAATCTGTCCTTCAGGTGATTTCTAAATTCAGATGAGATATAGTCAAAGTCATATGTTGGCTCTTGTGGACTTGTTTTCATTTTTTTCAGCTTCAGTCTGAATTTGCATATGAGCAATTGATGATCTGTTCCACAGTCTGCCTGTGGCCTTGTTTTGGCTGGTGATATGGAACTTTTCCACCCTATCTTTCCACAGATGTAGTCAATTTGATTGCTGTGTATTCCAACTGGTGAGATCCATATGTATAGTAACCTTTTGCATTGTTTACAAAAAGTATTAAGTCATGGGTCTTGCAAAATTCTATCGTGCAATCTCCAGCATTGTTTCTATTGTCAAGACCATATTTTCCAACTACTGATCCTTCCTCTTTGTTTCCAACCTTTGCGTTCCAATCATCGTTATCAATAATACATTATAATTGCATGTTTGATCAATTTCATACTGAAAAGTTGGTAGAATTCTTTAATTTCATAATCACTGGCTTTACTGAGTTGGTGCATACATTTGAATAATAGTGGCATTAACTAGTCTTCCCTGTAGGTGTGTGGATATTACCCTATCACAGACAGCATTTTATTTCTAGAACTCTGAATGTTCTTTTTGATGATGAATGCAACACCACAGCTCTTCATTTTTCAGGCATAGTAAACCATGTAACTTTCAGACTCAAAATGGCCAATACCAGTCCATTTCAATCCCCTAATGTGTAGATATTGACCTTCATGTGTTCCATTTCATTTTTTACAACTTCCAAGTTTCCTAAATTCATACTTCATACACTCCATGTTCCAATTGTTAATGGAAGTTTACAGCTGTTTCTCCTCATTTTGAGTTATACCCCACCAGCAAATGAAAGGCCCCAAAGCTTTATTACTTTTGCATCCTCACGGCCAACTCTATTTTGAGAGGCAGCTCTTCCCCAGTCTTATATTGAGTGTCTTCCAACCTGATGGCTCATCTTCTGGCACTGTTTCTGACAATATTCATTGCTATTTATAATGCTTCAATAGTCAGTATTCTAGTGTTATCTGACAGTGTTCCACTGCTATTCATAGGTTTTCAGTGGCTAAACATTCAGAGGTAGTCCACCTCACCTTCTTTCTAGTCTTAGTCTCAAAGCTCAGCTGAAACCTGTCCAACTTGGTGACCCTGGTGGTGATGGTTATGTGCCGTGGAGTTGGTTCCGACTCATAGGGACCCTGTACAGGGTTTCTGAGGCTGTAAATCTTTATGGGAACAGAAAGCCTCATCTTTCTCCTGTGGAACAGCTGGTAGTTTCAAACCGCTGACCTTGAGGTTCACAGCCCAATTCCTAACCACTACACTACCAGATATTTAAAATACTGGTGGCATAGCTTCTAGCATCACAGCAATATGCACATTACCACCATGTGGCAAACTGACCGATGAGCGGTGGATTTATATGCTAGAGGGTGAAAAATTAATCAGGCAAAAGTTCAGGCGCCTTCCATCTCAGTGAAATTTCTAGTGTTATGGGGCATGTTGAGAAATTCCTTCTAAAGTGAAGGATATGTTGTTACATCTGGTCCCTCTTACCAGTAGACAGAAGGTATAATACCTGGTGGTCTTCTTGGGATTTTGGAGGAAACATATCCCTCATTTGGATGTGACACTCTAATCTATTTATCAAGTGATTTGAAATGCTGCTAGTTTTGAGCAGGGCTGAGAATAAGAGAAATACCTGTTACAGGTTCAGGCTACTGTGCAAGCCACCCTGTCACTTGGATACATAATCCAACTGACCAAATGTTCTTGAAGTGTTAGTGGCAAATAAAGATACTATTTTGGAGTCTTTGGAAGACCCTTATTGGTGAATCACAACACAGACCCTAAAGATTTTGGAGCAAATCTCTGCCATCCACTGCAAATAACTACTCTCCTTTTGAGAAACAGCTTTTGGCTTGTTACTCACCCTTTGTAGAAACTGACCAGTTAACCATGGACCATCAAGCTGTTATGAGGTCTGAGCAATTCATCATGAACTGGGTGTTGTCTGACCCACCGAGTCATAAAGTTGGACAAGCACAGCAGCACTCCATTATTAAATGGAAGTGGTATATGTGAGACTGGGCTCAAGCAGGTCCTGAAGACACAAGTTACATGAGGAAGTAGCCCAAAGCTCCATGATCCCTAGTCCTGTCACATGACTTTCCTTCTCCTAATTTGCACCTATGGCCTCCTAGGGAATTTCTTATAATCAGCTGACTGATGAAGAGAACAGGCATCCCTGGTTTACAGATGGCTCTGTGTGATAATGCAGGCACCACTTGGAAGTGGACAGCTGCAGAATTGTAGCTTTTTCTAGGACCTCCTTGAAGGGCAATGATGAAGGCAAATCCCCCCAGGGGACAGAACTCTGAGTAGCACATTTGGTTGTTCGTTTTGCTAAGATGGAAAGATAGCCAGATGTGCACTGTAATCATGATTGAGAGGCTATAGTCAATGGTTTGGCTGAAGGTTTAGAGAAAGAGCATGATTGAAAATTATTGACAAAGAGGTATGGGGAATAGGGACATGGATAGACCTTTCTAATGGGACAAAATAAAGAAGTTAGGATATTTGTGTCTCATTTGAATGCTCACCAAAGGGTGACTTTAGCTTAGAAAGATTTTAACAATCAAGTGAATAGGACAGTGCAGTCTATGGATATCAGACTGCCTCTTTCCCTAGTCATTCCTGTTATTGCCCAACAGAATAAATAATGTGAATAAATAAACATCATGAATACAGTGATGATGGTGGCAGGGATGGAGGTTATGGATAGGCCTAGCAACATGGACCTCTACACATGAAAACCAACTTGATGACAGCCAATGTTGAGTGTTCAATCTGCCAACAGCAGAGATTAATACTGACTCCACAATATGGCACCACTGTTTAGGGTGATCAGTCAGATTGATTACATTGGACCTATTCCATCAGAGAAAAGGGCAGCATATTGTTCTTACTGGGGCAAACACTTACTCTGCATATGCATTTGCCTTCCCTGCACACACGCTTTGCCAAAACTAAAATTCGTGGACTTATAAAATCCACCATCATGGTATACCACAAAGCATCACCTCAGATCAGGAAACTCACTTGACAGTAAATGAAGTGCAGCACTGCTCTTGGAACTCACTGGTCTTACCATATTCCCCATCATCCTGAAGCAACAATCGTGACAGAATGATGAAATGCCCTTCTAAAGATACAACTACAGCTAGGTAGCAATACCTCGCAGGGTGGCAGAGCAACTTGGAAGTAGATGTGGAGAAGGAAATATTATTTTAATGCTTACAGGAATGATAAACTCATATACAAAAGACAGTGATATGTTCAGGTGACAGATCTACACTTGATCCTTCAGCAAAATGTACTGTTTAGAAAAAGAATGAATGCATAGAGGTGGGTCAGATTGAGGACTTGAGGAAAATTGAGAAAGTCAGAAAAAAAAAAAAAAAAGAAAATTGAGAAAGTCTACCACATCCACTGTGAGTCCATCCTTCATGTCTGCATTGATTCCCTAGTAAACATTTATTGAGCAAGGGCTCAGTGAAACTTTGCTGGCATGAATATGAAGAGTTCTATAAGAGGGTGAACAGGAGTTCAATCAGGATTGGTAAGAGGTCATGGCTGAAAGTCAAAGTCTCATGAGTAGTTAGTTGTACAGGAAGCTCTGAGGTGATTGAAAAGAGAAATTGGGTTGGAGAAGAGCCCAGAGAACTCAGGAGGGTAAGGAACTTGGCAAGGTAAGAGGGTGGAACCACCGGCCATCCATCTTTAAAATTAAAGTGTCCCTGCCTATGTCAAGATCCAGAGTGTAAGCATGTGTTATATATTTGCAGAGTTATGACCGAGTGAAACTCAGTAGACAGGAAGTAATTGTAGTAAGTCAATGAACAATGAAACTGAAAGGTTTCATGTGGCAAGGATCATGAAATCACTGAGGACAATGGAGAAAAGGAAAACCATAGTAAAGCCAAGAGAATTGCATAGGATTGTCCTGATATACAGACACAGAGAAGACTGGGGGAAAGTACCAGCCACTGGGGGAAATCAGTTGGTATCTGAGAAGAAAAAAAACAACATTAAGGAAATACACTTCAAGCGAAGAAAAGATCTGTTTACAATACTGGAGTTGTCACCTCCTGGCTCTGTGAAATGGCCTCTGTTGATTCATAATTGACAAAGAAGAAATGAAAGTATGTCTTACACTTTGTCTTTATAAAACTGAATTCCTTATTTTGGAAAAGGACAGTGATAATAATGGCACAACATGGAAAATTTAGTCTATGTTTGAATTGTAAATGTAGCAGTTGTGTTGTCAGATATTTTTCTGTATATATGAAGTGGCTTCAAAAAGTGCATGGAACTTAAAGTCTCCTTGTATGTTCACAAGAATAAAAGAGAGATAGAGATATAAATAAAACAAAGCAAACAAACAAAAAACTTGAATTCCTGGAAACAATCTTGAACAAAATTCCTGGAATTCCTGGAAACAATCTTTTAAAAACTATGATTTTTTAAAAACTAATTACCCTGACATTCCTAATTCCTGGGTCATTAGTTATCAAGGCCCAGTGCACATGTGAAATATATACTAAATATTATTAGACATATTAACAATTGATTAATTTAGGTGAAACTCGGACTTACCTATGGAAAATCCCAGAAAGATCTGGAGCTGGAAGACTGGATTTAGCATGTATTCCATGGGTTTACTACTCTACTGTGGATCAAGTTAAGGTAAACTTCAAATCATTTGTCAATTCCCAAAATGGACACACAACTGAAAGAAGATATGATTAGTTTTTTCCCAGTGTTAAATCCCAAGCAATTCACTTGTGTTTCATTTCTTCTGTTTGTTTGTTCTTAAGGATACAGTTATAACTACCCTATGACTGCTGATAATAATTTATTGATTATATGTTAATCAATAGAATATTTTATTTCCCTTTTAATATGAAAATAGAATGAATTTAAAGACCTAAGGTACATGAATTCAAAGCTCTATTATATGATAACAGAAATGCTGAGCTCAGCAACTAAAGCTGTTTGGTGAAATATTTCAAAGCCAATAAAGCACTCACTGGCACTTAACAACAACAACAACAACCCCAAATCAGAACGTGTACCAAGACTGCTTTGTAGAATTAAATCAATAGTCAAATCTGTCTCTTGAATTCTTGACCAGTACAGCCACCTGTCTACTGAACATCTCCACCAGCATGTCCCACAGGCCCTGAACATTTTATCAAGTCTCGCACCATAAATAAATCTACTCATTTGTTCAAGCCAGAACCCTGCTTCAGACACCTACTTCTCCCCTCTCCTCACCCAGGCAATCTTCCTACTTTCCACCTCCATAGTCCAGGTCCTTCTAATTGACCTCAGTCACTGCAACGGCCTCCCAATCTCAGGCCCTTGCCCCTCCTAGCCTTCTTCACCCCACCACTAGATAATTGGTCTAAAATGTAAATATGCTGCCAATCTTGGTTCAATTTTTCAATGGCTATTGCCTACAATACAATCTAAAATTCCTTGATACAACTCAAGGGTCTATCAAGACCTAATCTGCCACTATCGATGACTAAACCAAACTTCTTATAGGCTTATGAGTCTTCCTCCTATCTGCTTGCTAACATTCTGTTCACCTCCATTGACAGTAAGTGTCTCACTGCTTCTAGCTCTCTATTTTCTCTACTAGACTAAGTTCCTGGAAGAACTTTCATTCACCCTGGATTCTTAGTGAATGACACAGTGCTTGACTCCTAGAAGCATTCATGAGCTTGTTGGGTAATTAAACCAACACTGTTCATTTGGGGTTCAAATGCTACTCATTAGCTAAGCCAATTTTGGAGACTCCATACATCTCTGTTACAACAGTATGGCCCACAGTCTATCTACTCCTCACATTACAGCATAACCTATTATTGAGTAGATTTCAATTTACCAAATTGGCAGCACCATAGTGTTGTTGTTGTTAAGTGCCGTCAAGTCAGTTCTGACCCATAGCAATCCTGTACAGGGTTTCAAAGGAGCAGCTGGGGAGCTTGAACCCCCAACCTTGCAGTTCAAATGGCTTTGCAGTCCGGTGCAGTAACCCATAGTACCACACCAGGACTCCAGTACTATAGTGGACAATGTCTATTTAAATCCATCCTCCAAGATTCCTGACGTCATGGTGATCAGTTCCTAGTTGTCTGAAATCCTGACCTACATCACAAGGATGACTGAAGTTTGTGCTTGTTTTCAGGATCTCTATAGTGGATTAATCGGCCCGCTGATTGTTTGTCGGAAACATTACTTAAAAGTATTTAATCCCAAAAAGATACTGGAATTCTCCCTCCTGTTTCTAGTTTTTGATGAGAACGAATCTTGGTATTTAGATGACAACATCAAAACATACTCTGACCACCCTGAGAAAGTAAACAAAGACAATGAGGAATTCATAGAAAGCAATAAAATGCATGGTATGATATATCATTCCAAAACCTTTTTGTTCATTTTTAACTTTTTTCAAATAGAATCAAAGATGATTGATATGTTTCATTTAAAAATAAACTACCTCTGCCTCATTTTGTCTGTGAGGTAGAGTTCTGTTAAAAAAAAACAAAAACAAAAACAAAAACAGAATTATGTTCAAAATCTCATTTCCTTTGAAAGAAATCCACAAATTACCCTTAAGGCTTTTCATGCTGCCTCTATAAAACCAATCGTGCAACTTCATTGACTTTAAGCTATCCATTTCCCCCTTTGTAATGACGTAATTCCTATTACCTCATAAAGATCCTATGCATTAACCTAACAGTCAAATTTTCTGTGAAACAATTGGTTTAAAATATCTTGAAAGGTAATATGATAATCATGTGCTTTCCCCAGCAATCAATGGAAGATTGTTTGGAAACCTGCAAGGTCTCACAATGCATGTGGGAGATGAAGTCAACTGGTATCTGATGGGAATGGGCAATGAAATAGATTTGCACAGTGTACATTTCCACGGCCACAGCTTCCAGTACAAGGTAAGAGCCACCCTGGGCAGTTTCCTTGCTCTATCTGAAAGTGTCTTAATATAAATAATTTTCTCAACGAGACTTATGAAAAATTGTAAGGTTAAAGAGAAAACTAGTTTCAGAGTATGGGGCAATTTCAATTGGCATGGCCGGCCTTTGTTACACCCTAGGGCTTACATGAATTTATTGTTTTTACTCGACTTTCACAGAGTTCTGCTCAGCTATTCCTGAATACAATGTTTGAATGGAATTGCTGGCTATTCAGTTAGGGTCAGAGTGACATCGAAGCAGACAAGATTTTATTTCCAGCCTTTGCTCTGACTGTTCTAAATTCTGTACCTTATGTAGTCTGAGTGCAAGACCTTCATTTTTTGTTGAACAACCCCCTGCTCTCTAGATTTCAAGTGTTAATCAGTGCTGATTTCAGCAAGAGCCAATGATTCTTTTAAAAATGTTTTCTTACTTCTGAGAGCAAAAATTCAGAAGCTACCGGCACACTGCAGCAAAGTCCGTTTTGCTATCTATATTGTTTTACATTGAAATATTCTTAGTGAAATTTCACTTAAATACCAATTATTCTGTCTCTATAAGACTATTCCTCAACTGCCCCTGGGTTTTGGCTTCTCCATCACCCTCCTGAAGTATTACAGAGTAGCTCTTTATGAAACAGATTCTGTCAAAAGTGAGATTAGGGTTGGTATGGGGCTATAGCTACAGTTCCCTTGTGTAGCTCAAATGCTCAGAAAAAAGGCAAGTTAGTCAAGATGTCAGAGGTCCTGGTGGATGAACTCACTCATCTTCCATCCTTCACACTCACTTCACGGCTCACAGTACCAAAGGCTTAGTGGGAATACATGGATTCCACTCTTTACAGAGTTACACATTTTCTAACACCTCTGAACTGGCTAATAAAAGATTTTTCAGTGAACTCTCATATATATTAGAGAAATAAAATATTTATCATTTTTCTAATTAAGCACAGGGGCATTTATAGTTCTGATGTCTTTGACGTTTTCCCTGGGACATATCAAGCCCTAGAGATGTTTCCAAGAACACCTGGGACCTGGTTACTCCACTGCCATGTGACTGATCACATTCATGCTGGAATGGAAACTACTTACACTGTTCTACCAAATAAAGGTGAATTCTAGAAGTCATATGTCATGAATATAACGAAGAAGTACTATTTCCCTAAGTATTTTCTTAATATGAAACATCTGTGAATTCACTGCCCCAATTTCTGTCTGCTCTACCTCCTAACAGGCATTGTGACTACTAAATGGTATGAGATTCTGCTCCTTTCCTGACAGCTGATATGGTTAACAGCACCTATAGTCTCTAAGCTAACAGAGATAATATCAATTGATGCAGTATAGCTTATACCTAAAGCTGAAATAAGGAAGGAGCCATGTGAGTTTCTTACCAAGAAACAAAACCATGACTTAACAAAAGACACATTTCAAACTTACTTTGTTTCTTAAACTTTTTGTAGGTAGTACCTAGTTGTTACACCCTCGGAAACCCTGTACAGGGTCGCTATAGCTGTTTGGTGAAATATTTCAAAGCCAATAAAGCACTCACTGGCACTTAACAACAACAACAACAACCTAGTTGTTAAAAAAAAAAATATATATATATATATATATACCAAACATTTCTTCCATAGTACTCTACTCAGCTGGGTTTGATCGTTGCAATGGTAACACAGAACTCTGACCCCATGCTTACAGTTAAGGGGTTTATTAGGGAGTTGTTGTTGTTGTTGAGTGCCATCGAGTCGGGTCCGACCCATAGCGACCCTGTACAGGGTTTCCGAGGGTGTAAATCTTTACGGGAGTAGAAAGCCTCATCTTTCTCCCGCGGAGCGGCTGGTAGTTTCGAACCGCTGACCTTAAGGTTCGCAGCCCGATTCGTAACCACTACGCTACCAGAGCTCCTTTATTAGGGAGTTAACAGGTTACAGTTCAGGATCAGAAACATTAAAGGCATAGTTCTTCCAGTAAGAACAGTCTCTGCTCTGCCATGCCCACAGGCAGAATTCTTTGGCCTTAACCCCTTGACCTGTTCTCTGTCCTGCTCAAACACTGTTACAAAGTTCTTTTAGGGCTACTGAAAAACTGCCCAAAGGGCACTCCACTCCACTATAAACCTCAGCCCAATGGCACTAAGTTCTGTCTCCTTGGGTCAGCAAACCTGGCTCCTCAGTTAAATGCCTAGAGGCACGGCACTGCACAAGTGAGCCTACTGCCCAAAGGCACTCAGCTCTACTTGCTCCCTGGGCCAGGAGGTCCACCGCTCTGCTTCTTGGTTCTACTGCTGCTATTCCTCTGGTATCACAGCTTTCTGTCCCTGGCTCAAGGAGGTTCACTGCATAGGAGGTTCTCAGGGTCTAAAGAATGCACTCCACTCCTGGCTCTTGTTTCTTGATGGTTGTGAGATTTCTCCAGCTGCTTCAGGGATGACTCGTATTATACCCCACATGACAGGTTCCAACTGTTCACAATTACCCTATTAACAATCACTGACAACTGAATCATACCATATCATGTATCAGCATTACCCCCTACCTTCTCAAACCCAGATCCATCACGAAAAACTTTGGTGGGAGTTAGAGGCTATGGCAAGCAGAGACATCTGAAGTAGCTCACTATGCTGCACTAGTACACAAATAATCAATATAATTACAAATAATAACTCAAGCAGAGTGGTGTCTTTCTGCACTAAGAAGGAAGATATAAAATATTATTGCTTGCGAAAGATTCCGGGAGGGGGAAAAATCAAATTCCCTGACCCTGGTAACAAATACCTCCCCTCCACATGCACAAACACACACACTTAAAAACAGGGAAATGAGCAGTATTTTTGTAGACAAATGTGAAATTCTTGTTTTATAGTTGCAACTATGGTCCTTCCAGGGCCTTCTGAGTTAGGAACTGTTGGAATTGGCAAAACTAACAGGGGGAAGTTACAGAGTGTAAAAAATTCCCTGTTTCCTCCTCAAAATAGAGATGACAAGGAATACGTTAAGTGAAAGAAAATACAGAGGTAAAATATCCTTTAAGATTAAACATCACTAAAAGAAAATGAAACGTTTAAATTTTGCTCTTGGGTCTTATATAAAACCTTGAAACACAAACAACTACTTCCTTTAAAACTGCTTTTATTACCAGATATGGCACTGATAGTAGCAAAACACCAAAGATCTGAATAAGCTAAAAAAAAAAAAGAAAGAAAAATCCACTGGGTTGAATACCATAATTCTTGAACGACAGTTAAATAAGGGATGAAAATGTTAGTTTTAAAATGACTATTAAAAACTAGTTGCCACTGAGTCAGTGCCAAGTCATGGTAATAACCCCATGTGTGTCAGTTCAGAATTGCCAGACCTGTCTTAATAGGCTCCTCTGATTGGATTCAAACCTCCAACCTTTCAGTTAGCAACTGAGCACGTTAACTGCACCACCCTGGTACTCCCTTTAGCATGCATGTGCACAGGAAAGGATGGCTGCACACAGGAACATAACCAACAGTGAGGGAACACTGACACCAGGCAGGATTCCTTTGTGCACATGAAAGGATTCCTCCTGGACACAAGTCTGGAAGGAGAAGGGGATGATGAATTGGTGACAAAAGGGAACATTGTTCTAGCTGTAGAGAAAACTGAAGGGCCAATAGGGAACATGAAGGAAAAATTCGCACTAGAAACGAAAGAGAATTTTACAAGAAAAGGCACTGCATTTGATTGAAACAGCAGTAATGACCAATATAGTTTTAATTATACACAGAAAAATGGGCAGACACATTTATCAGTCTAAATTATCTTTAAATAAAATTTAGTCATTTGTGGCAAATCTACCTGAAGTCTGACTTTTAGAGAATTTCTGCCTAGCATGATACAGATGTAGTTATAATGAAATCCTTCAATACATGGGCTAAGAGACAATTACCTCCACAAAGAAAAAGATAAACTATTAGGAGAGAGTGGTGGGTATTCTGCCTTACTGAATGCAATGCTTCACTTCCCCTGTCAGCAGAGCATAACAAAGACCTCCTATGTCCTCTGGCAAATGGAGGAGTCCCTGGGTGATACAAATGGTTAAGTGCTTGACTACTAGTTGAAGGTTTTGTATTTGAAGCACACCCAAAGGTACCTCAGCAGAGAGGTCTGGCAATCTAATTTCTAAAGGTTACAGCCTTGAAAACTCTACGGAGCAATTCTACTCTACACACATGAGGTCAAGAGCGAGTGTTGACTCAAAGGCAAACATGACAAATGTAAATGGAACCCTTTAAAAACTATGACATAACTATGAGTTTCAATCCTGTTCCTAAACAAATACCCACTGAGGTAGATAAAAGATAACCTTTTAAATGCAATGTATAGGAGGGAAAAAAAACTCACTTTCCCTTTAAATTCCTTATACGCAAAGACTGCATATTCTTTACTTCTGGCTAAGTACCCAAACCCAATATACCACTCTACTTTATGAATGTCTAACTGCGTATTAACTCAATGAGAAAAAACTTAACTTTTTTTATATATAGAATTTCAATAGGAAAGTTCCAAGAGCAGTAAACTCTCATACCCTTCACTCAGATTCTCCAAATGTATACATTTTGCCATGTTTGCATCTCTCTCTCTAGCTATACAAACCCATATTTCCTATAAGCAAGGATGTTCTTGTATATAACAATACAACTATCAAAATCAGATACAACTATCAAAATCAGATTAACAATGTTTCAATTCTACAGAAATTTTTCAAATTTCACCATTTACAGTAACCGTGTTCATTCTACACAAAATTCTGGACCATGCACTGGGTTGAGATGAACATGTCTTTTTACTCTCCTTTTATCTGGAATTTGATGGTACTTAGCAATAACAACAATCCGGAACAGTTCTTCATTCTTTGTCTTTCATTAACTGAATTTTTTTCAATACGAGGCCGGCATGCAAAAGTGAAGCTGTGTTCTTCTCAGTGCTTCATGTCAGGCAGCACAAGATGCTGATTTGTCCCATTACTGGCTACATTCTTGGAATATTTGGTTAAGGTGGTATCTGCCAGCTGTAAAGTTACTATTTTTCCCCCTTATAATTAGTAAATATCATATGGAAAACAAAGTAAATTTTTCGTAAAGTAATACTGGAATGAAAAGAATATTTTTAATCATAGAAAAAGTAAAGCTATATAAACAAATTAAGACTAAACTAGGTAAAAAGAAACATTTAAAAATTAGCAAGGATACATATAAATTATCATATACTAATTACATGACATAAACTATTTTTAATGATGGTCTTACATTCTTTTTCCCTATAGAGAACAAGTCTGGCTGAAAGAAATAAACCGGTGTGAAAAACAAACAAACCCAAAACTATTAGAAATAATGTAATATAACAGTGTGGAGTACAACATTTGATTTGGAATGGTTTATAAGGATTTACAAAAGACACCAATAAAAGACTGAAAAATTGCATTTGTGGGGGAAACTTGCTTTGCTGCTGGAGACAGTAATAGACTGGCATTAGTACCCTAGGTAACAGAATTGATTCAAGTTGGCCAGTCACATCACTATTCCACCCACTGCTACTGAGTTGATTCTATCTCATACTAGCACTACATGACAGAGTATAACTGCTCCTTGCGGTTTCCAAGACCACAAATCTTTAGAACAGAGTTTCTCCTACAGAGCAGCCGGTGAGTTTGAACCATTGACCTTGTGATTAGCAGTCCAATGGTTAACCTACTACACTACACTCCCAGGTCTCGTCCATCACTCTCAGGGCTTTACAAAATTGCATTCATTTAAAAAGAGAAACTAAAAAACCAAAACAATGATAAGACAGACTTCTACTGGTGGTGATGGTAGTTATGTGCTGTGATGTCTGTCAGTTCCAACTCATAGCGATCTTGCACAGGATTTCCGAAGCTGTAAATCTTTACGGGAGCAGAAAGCCTCATCTTCTCCCATGAAATAGCTGGTCGTCTCAAACTACTGACTGTGAGATTAGCAGCTAACTCATAACCACTACGCTACCAGAGCTCCTTGTTTTAGTCAGTAGTCCTCTAAGGTCCACTGAAATGTTTCCAAACACTGTCTTCCCATCAATCTCTATCACATGCTGCTGCTTTCAAGTCTAATAAACTGCTGGGGGAAACGGGGGCACTGGGTATGGAAGAAGGAAATTTAAAAACTAAATTAAAATAAAATGCCAATCTGAGTACTATATACCCTTATAAAAGAGAAGGTCAAGAAGATGTTATCTGAAACTGAAGAAAAACAGAGTTAAAAAGCAATTTTATACAGTAGATCTGGTAAAAATCAGGAGATAAGCTTCAATATACAGGTGTGGCATAAGCTAGGGTAAGAATTTCTGCCCAGCCTTAAATGAAACAAAGGTCACTATCAATGAGCTGAACTTGAACTCAATATTCTTTAACAAGAGGTTATAAAAAAAAGACACAACTGGAAATGTATTTCTTTATTTTCACATACACTCTAGCTAGAAGGAGAACAAGAGTAGACACTAACAAAAAATGCAATAAGACTTTGGCTGAAAACCATACATTCCACAAACCATGCTAATTAATAACCAGAGGAAAACACAGGTTAGCTTTGTAAAGTCCTACTTTATTTCACAGTGAGACACATCATAAATATTCAAATTTAACAAGGAAATAATACTTGAAATCTTGTAACATTTTACTTACAGAGAATTATTTTTAAAAGGTGTTCCAATAGAGAAATTTTGAAACACTAAAAAGATATAATTCTGAGCCACTTGGAGTGACCCTCTTTCCAGCATACTTACAAAATATCACATTAAAATATACCTAAGATGAAAAGGACTGTTGTGTCTCCAACAACAGTGAGTTGATGTTACCCCTTGAATGTTTTCTTGTTTAAAAAAATAAGGCTTCTTTTAGGAATTATGCCTTGAAGCTTCTTTTATATTCTGGATTATTAAATAGATTCAGGACATAAATTTAAAAAATCAATAGTACCACTAACTACATGGTAGCTAAGCAGCCAACAACAACAACAACAACAAGCAGCCAAAAGCATTTGTACATGTGAGTGAGTGTGTGTGTGTGTGTGTATGTATACATACATACATACATACACTAGACTGAAAGTCTGTTGGAATCGCAAGGCTGGTGGTTCAAGTTCACCGACTGCTCTTAGGAAACCCTATATAGGGTTGCTATGGGTCAAAATACATTTAACAGCAGGCACTTAACAATATATATATACACACACGTACATACATTCAATATGGAAATCTTTTATTTCTATTATTACCTCGCACTCAATATTTTTAAATTCAGGTTTCTATACCATTATGGAATTCTCAATGATTCCTTCAAGTCAGTGATTTCTTTCGACAACAGTAAAGAAGATAGGGCAAAAAAAACGCTGCAGTGCCATCTTCTGGGAGGACGTTCAAGAAATCCCTTAGTTCTAATTCCACAGCAACAACCGACAACGTTTCTGTTTGCAGGAAAGAAAAAGGCTGAGTTAGTACTAAAAGTTTGTCTTTTAAGCAATTCTCTATCAAACAACCAGTTAGAAGCCAGTTCATGTAACAAACTGCTGCAACCGTGAAGGAAAGCACAATCAGTACAGTATCTTAAATCCAAAGACGACTTTTATGATCTCGGCGAGTCCTTATTTAATCTTTTCTAGAAGCATTTGTAGTTTATATTAGCCTTATGTACTTTGGATTTACTATTCCATTGCTCAGTTACTACATTATTTTTTCAATAAATTTCTATTATCCTTTAGAGAAAAATAGTTAATTTTTAAATTGTTGTAAAAATACATATAACATTTGCCAATTCAACATTTTTCACATGAAAGACACCAATTAATCATGTTGTGCAACCATTACCAATATCTGTTGCCAAATCTTCCAACATTATAAATGAACACTGTTTAATATCTGAACTAAGTTGTGATTATCGTTAAGTATTACCGAGTAGGTTCCGGCTCATAGCCACCCTCACGACAGAATGAAATCCTGTCCAGTCCTGAGCCATCCTCACAATTGTTACGTTTGAGCCCACTGTTGCTGCCACTGTGTCTATCCCTCTTGAAGGTCTTCCTCTTTTCTGCTAACACTGCATTTTACCAAGCATGATGCATTCTCCAGGGATGAATCCTCTTGACAACATGCCCAAAGAATAAGACTAAATTTTGCCATCCTGACTTCTAAAGAATATTCTGGCTGTACTTCTTCCAAGACAGATTTGTTGGTCCTTCTGGCAGCCCGTGGTATTTTTAACATTTTTTGCCAGCATCATAATTCAAGTGTACCAATATGGTCTTCCTTATTCACTGTCCAACTTTCACATGCAGATGAGGCGACTGAAAATACTATTGCTTGGGTCAGGCCTACTTTAGCCCTCAAACTGACATCTTTGCTCTTGAACACTTTAAAGAGGACTTTTGCAGCACATTTGCCTACAGCAACACGTTGTTTGGTTCATCACTGCTGCTTCCAAGAGTGTTGACTCTGGATTCCAGCAAAATGAATTGTTTCTGCCTTTATGAGGATGTTGCTGATTGCTTCAGTTGTGAGGATTTTTGTTTCCTTACACTGAGGTGAAAACCATACTGAAGGTTGTGGTCTTTAATTTTCATCAGTTAAGTATTTTAAGCTTCTTCGCTTCCAGCAAACAAGGTTGTATCATCAGCATAGTATATAGGTTATTAGTAAGTTTTCCTCCAATCATGATGCCACATTCTTCTTCAAATAATCCAGTAGTTATCGCTACTTTCCTATCAAATCATTTTGCTTAGGATAAATATGTTGTTGTTGTTAAGTGCCGTTGAGTTGATTCCGATCCATAGCGACCCTGTATAGGGTTTCCAAGGAGAAACTGATGAGCTTGAACCAGCATAAGTATAGAGCCTATTCAGTTGATATTGTTTTTAAGTGCCATCTAGTCGGTTCCAACTCAGAGTGACCCTGTATAGGGGTTCCAAGGAGCAACTGGTGGGTTTAAACTGCTAACCTTGTGATTAACAGTTTAGTGCTTAACAGCAGTGCCACAGAAGTACCTTAATATTAAAAAACAAAGTAGGAGGCCAGAATAGATAGGTTATAAGGCCAACAAAATCCTGCCACTACTCAATTTTCCTCTTCTCCCAACCCATGCGGGAGCTAATACTAACTGCTGTCGAGTTGATGCCAACTCATGGCAACCCTGCAGGGCAGAATACAACTAACTATTCCTTAGTGTTTCCAAGGCTAAATTCTTATCTCTCCACCTCGGAGTAGCATTGAATTTAAACCACTAACCTTGAAATTAGCAGCTGAACACTTAACCTACTGAGCCACCAGGGCTCCTTTTTGAGGGGTTTAATATGGTAACAAAATGTTTTAACTCCAAAAACAAAGTTACTAACTTCAATTCTCAGAATATTTTTTAAAGTTGATACAGTATCTTCATACATCTCTTGTATATATGAAGGATTCAGAAGATTCACATACTTAACCTCTCTGGGAATACAGTGGTTACAGGTCCGGACACTAACTTCAAGGTCAGCAGTTCAAAACTACCAGCTGTTTCACAGGAGAAAGATGAGGTTTCCTGCTTCTGTAAAGATTTATAGCCTCAGAAACCCGATGCAGGGTTATAATGAGTCAGAACCAACTCCACAACACATAACCACAAAGCAACCAGAGTTCCTTGAAGAGTACTGGTGTGACGCTGTGGGTTAATGCGTTGGACTGCAACGCCAGTTTAAACCACAAGGTCAGCAGTTCAAGCTCACCATTTGCTTCTCAGAAACTCTATACAGGGTCACTAAGGATGAGAACCAACTCGGTGGCACTAAACAACAACACAGTCCCTTGAGGTTTTTTATTTATTTACGCTAAGCCCCATTCAAAGATACTAAACAGTGACTGGTGAGCATTATGCCTGATTTACTGTTGAGAAAACAAACTCTGGGAAGGTTAAAGATCACTGACTACATTCTATCCATTAGTCACCTAAATCTGTAAGTCACACAGGAATCATCTATCTAAATGAAATCTGATCATAATTAAAAATCCTCCAGAGTGTCTAGAAAGTAATGCCAAATGTTAAAAGTAGTTATTTCTAAGTTACTAGATTTTAAGTTACTATTTATTTTTATAATGTACTACAGTGCTAGAATTTTTAGCAACGAGCACAGTTCATTATTATAAAAACAATAAAATAATGTTTTAAACAAGCCAGTTACAAACCCATTTCAATGGCTCACCATTACAGTAATTGTTCTCAACATGGGGGATAACCCCTCCCCTATCCCCCTGGGAACACTATGTTCCTGTCTTGAGTCACTTTTGGTTGTCATGACTGGAATGGTGCTACTTGTAGGGAGAGGCAAGGGATGCAGCTAAATATTCTATAACTCACAGGGTACCCCAGGCCCCATAACAAAGAAATATGCAGTCCAAAATGCCAATACTGCCAAGGCTACAGCCTTCAGTATGGATTACACCTCAATGTAAAGAAAACAAAAATCCTCATAACTGGACTTAAAAATAACATGATTAACAGAGGAAAGACAGATGTTGTTAAAGGCATCATTTTGCTTAGATTCTCATTCAATTCTCATTAATGCAGCAGTCAAGAAATCAAACAACAAAATTGTATTAGGCAAATCTGCTGCAAAAGTGTTCAAGCACAAAGAGTGAGGACTAAGGTGAACCTGACTTAAACCATGGTATTTTCAATTGCCTGTGGGATAATGCACTGGACCACAAGGTCAATGCTTCAAACTCACAAGCTGCTCCTCAGTAACCCTATACAGGGTCACTATGAGTCGGAAACAACTCGAAGGCACTAACAACAAGTATGTGTATGAAATTTGGGCAATGAATAAGGAAGACTGGAGAAGTATCGATTCATTAGAATTATGATGTTGGAGAAGAATATTGAAAGTAGCATGGACTGCCAGAAGAAGAAATCTGTGTTGGAAGAAGTACAGCCAGAATGCTCCTTAGAAACCTGGACAGCAAGGCTTCGTCTCTCGACTTCTGATGTTTTGAGGAGGGTGTTTTGAGGAGGGACCAGCAGCTGGAGAAGGACATCATGCTTGGTAAAATGGAGGGTCAGTGAAAAAAGAAGAAGACCCCCAAGGAGATGACTTGATGCAGTGGTAGCAGCAATGGGCTTAAATGTTACCAACTGTGAGGGTGGCAAAGGAACAGGCAGAGTTTTCCTCTGTTTTGCATCGGGTTGATATGGATTGGAGCCGACTGACAGCACCTATCTACAATAACATTTAGGAAAAAAACCCACAACAACACTGCTGATGGCTGCACAACATGAAAGAAGCCACTGATCTCACTCAATTGTATTTGGAAAAAGAACATGTTGAATTGGCAATGTGGTGTTACCTATAATTTTAAAACAATAAAAAGACCTGAAGTTATTCAGGTGGCTCCCCTTCAAATCAATAGTTACAGACTGCTCTTTAGAGAGAAGAAAGGCACAAGTCTGTGGAGGAGGGTGCAGCACAACCAATGACTAGAAATACAACGCCATATGACACTATGACCACACACACACAGGTGCATACACACAAACATTTTGAAGCAGTGAAAAATGTAACTTTAGAGAAATTAATAGCAGTTAATTTGTGTCTGTGGATCCTAAAAAGCTTGAAGAGTCTTGTGGCTGGGATGATGATGTTACTGAAGTGTGAGGATGTGGACTATCTATATTGTAAAGTGATTCACCAACACAAATAACAGTCCTACTTCAGAGCAGGGGACTGGTTCCAGGACCACTCCCCACTCTTCTCCTTCACACTCAGAGACCAAAATTTGTAGATGCTTAAATTCCTAATATAAATGTTCCATTTGCATACAATCTACCCACCTCCTCCCACAGACTTTAAATCATCTCTAAATTACAATACCAAATACAATGCAAATGCTATGTATATGTTGTTATTGTTAAGTGCTATAGAATCAGTAGCACTTTATAACGCCCTCTTAACCTTTGAGGATTGCTTTGACCACTAAACTGCTAGCCCCCTCCCCCGGTGTTTCTAATCCATGACAGGTTGAATCCAAGGTTGAGTGATCTTAGATACAGAAGGTCAACAGTAATAATTTCAAAATTACATGATATGTTTGATGCAATTGAGTCAGGGCTTCACACATCTATCATCTGAAAATTGAAAGTACTCAAAAAGGCACAGGGAGATCAAAGAGCTAGCATAAAATTACCTATTTGCTCTCTCAATCACAAACATAAAACTGCAATTAAACAACCTCCAATGGCCAGTGTCCCTGTCTTTAAAATCAATTCTTTCAGCTGGAAAATATAGCCCAACTCTTTCCATTTCCAGTATTTGAAGTACACTTCAACCAGTACATGCTCTTAAACATCGACAATTAATTAGTAATATTAACATGGTGGTTGGTGGTTATGTGCCGTGGAGTCAGAACTGACTCATAGCGACCCTGTACAGGGTTTCCGAGGCTGTAAATCTTTACAGGAGCAGAAAGCCTCATCTTTCTCCTGCGGAACAGCTGGTAGTTTCGAACTGCTGACCTTAAGGTTCGCAGCTTGATTCATAACCACTACGCTGCCAGAACTCCTAATATTAACAAAGTAGTATAAAAATTGATATAACAATGTAAAAATTGATTGATGTTATCTGTCAAAAAGTTTAAATGACTATAAATTATAAAAAGTTCAATAATTACCTATACTGTAAATATGATAAAGACACTTACCTTTTAAATACTTGAGAATATTGTCATTCCTCAACAGCTGTTTATAATTGATTTATAATAATAATCATCTGAACAATAACCCCAATTATGAAATAACTTCAGTACCTAGCTCACTAATGAAAACATTTTCTTAATAGTTACTGAAAGTTTTAAAATACTGAAGTTGTGATAATTTTTTAAACAGTAGGAGCTCTGTGACTAGAAGAAATGAGTGGATGATTAACAGTTACAGGTGGGGGTGAGGGGGTGGATGTGAACATAAATTCTCCACATGATTCTGCTCAGGCCCTTTCTACTACAGCTGAGAATCACAGGAATGCGAAGCTTCAGCAAATTATGGAAACGAAAATTGAGACATTAAGATTTAGAATCCAGAAAAGAAAAAAAATTAATTTACCTTTTAATGATGACAAGTAAAGCTGATAGTTCTCTCCACCACATTTTATTCTCTGATAAAGTTCAGGCAACAGTTTTTTCCACCACAGAGTCTATCTTATGAAAAAATGAATACATTTCAGTGTGATCAATACTCAGAGAACATAACTCTAGATTTCCAATGAAAATAAGGAGACTATGGGGTGGGGGGAGGAATCACAGGTCAAGGATATCTCATTTTGTTTTAACAGAGGTCACACCAACAGTGGGTCTTCTGCTTCAACTATTATTATATCACATAAAAGTCAGGTTTGCAATTGGAAAAGACAATACTATGCATACTGCATATGTGTACATGGCTGTTTTTAAAAAGAAACACAGATACGTCCTATTATCATCTCTTGGTGGCAAGAAGAATGGGAAAAAAAGGTACATAAGTCTAAAACTGTTCTCATTAATAAAGCTAAAAAACAAAAACAAAAACGTGGCACCAAAAGTTTTTCTATCATACATACTTTCTTCAGCTAAATAATCTATTTCATAACCAGAAAGATTTTTAATGAAGATGACACATTATAACTCTAAAGCAGATAAGTTGCCATAGAGTCAATTCCAACTCATGGCAGCCCCATTGTTTCAGAGCAGAACTGCAGTCCACAGGGCCCTTTCAGTGGCTACCATCTTTCAGAAGTAGATCACCAGGTCATTCTTTTGGGGGAATTTGAAACAACCACCTTTTGGTTAGTGTGGTTGTTGTTAGTTGCCACCGAGTTGATTCTGATTCATAGCGACCCCACGTGTCCAGAGTAGAACTGCTCCATTGGGCTTTGAAGGCTGCGACTTCAAGAAGCAGAAATCCAGGCCTGTCTTCTGAGGACCCTCTGGGAGAGTTCGCACTGCCAACCTTATGGCTAGGAATTAAACACTTTACTGTTTGTACCACCTAGCGACTCTTATCACTACCAAGACATATATTACATATATATGGTCATTTGACCCACACAACCTTGTAAGGTTGGGCTAATTTGTTCCCACATTGCAGATCAGGCAACACGATTATCAAATCTGATTATCACTGATCATATCTCAAAACATAACCTGAAAGCATACCCGGTTGGCTTCCTTCAGTTCATGATTAGCATATGGAATGACAGCCTCTGGACATCGCTCTAACAGTGTGTCTATGCACTGTTCATACTCTTTCAAGCGCGTATGACACAGAACATGGACACTAAGGCCAGCGACAGTGTCTTCTGAGAGCAGCTCCAAGAATGGAATTATGGAAGTTATGTCGTATGAAGGACCACATATAAGAGACTATGAACAGAAAAGTAAAATATTATGGAATGAAGCACCAAAAAATGGAAATATAACAAACAGAATGCAATTTTTAAAAAAGATTAAAACTCACTCACCAAAAGGAGAAAAAAAAAAAAGCAGAATACGATTTTTATAGCACATGAATATGGTTCTTATTTAATAAATCTAAGTACATTAAAGTATTAAACAATCTTGAAAGCATATCTAGCTTAAGGATGAAGATGTATTTAAGAGAAAGCATGATTTTTTTTTAAGCACATGGTTCTATTTGCTTTGGATTTACTGAGTATTAAAACTAATGTGACTACTTTATGACTTTATTCCAAGAAAATAATCAACTATGTGATCAAAAACTTTTGTTCAGTGATGCTCGTGACAATTTGAAATACTGGTAATTTAGAAATAATCTCAATGTTCAACAAGAGGAAAAAGGCAAATAAGTTATAGCACATTTGTATTACTGAAACTTATTTAACCATTAAAACTTTTATCAATGGCTAATGCTCATAATATGAATTGAAAATATCAATCCAAAATTATATTCAGAGCACCATTAGTTTTATAAAATACATATATGTACAACAACAAGATCATATATATACAGAGATATCTTTGGTATAACATAAAAAATAAAAACAGAGGCTAGCTGTCTGGATGGGAAGACAAAGTGTACTTTTTGTTTTCTTCACAGTTACCTGTATTTTCTAAAGTAAGCAGAACTAAAGAGAAGTCAAAAAGTACTGCTACAAAATCATAGAAACCTTTATTAAACAAAAATTCTTGACATATACTCCATTTAGGAGTCTATACATTTCTGAAAGCGGTGTTTCCATCTCTCTAAGAGTTGGAATTGATTCAACAGCACTTAACAACAACAAACAACCATTCCCCAAAGAATTCTATGCTCCTTAATTTATATCACATCAAAACAACAGTTTTGGCATTCAAGCATTCTTTTGAGTTTTAAGAACAAAAAGAAGTCTGAAGGGACAAGATCAGGGCTGTAGGGTGGATGGGGTAAAATTTCCCAACAAAATATTGCTACCCTTAGAGACTGAGCTGGTGTACTGCCATGATGGGGTAAAAAATCATTGGTGCAACTTTCCTGGGCTTTTTCTCACCCATGCATTTTTAAGTGTTAAAATTTTCTAATAAGCCCCTCTGGTCATCCTGTGTCCTTTGAGAAAGTTCATTAAGATTACCACTTCTTTTGTTGTTGGGTGTCATCGAGTCGGTACCAACTCATAGAGATCCTATGCACAACAGAAGGAAACACTGCCCAGTCCTGGGCCAACCTCATAATTGTTGCCACGCTTGACCCATTGATGCTGCCATATTGCCAATCCATCTTACTCAGGGTCTTCCTCTTTTTCTCTGACCCTCTACCTTACCAAACATGATATCCTTCCTCCAGCAACTGGTCCCTCCTGACAATATGTCCGAACAGTCCCAAAAAACAATCACTGGATGGACTGGCCAGGTGGCAGCATCGATAGACTCAAGCGTGGCATCAACAGTGAGGTTGGCCCAGGATTGGGCAGTGTTTTGTTCTGCTGTGTTGCTATGAGTTGGTACCGACTCGATGGCACCTAACAGAAACAACAACGTACCCTTATAAGCTGACTTACCTGCACTGAAATAGGCCAAGCAGATCCCCTTGGAAGCCACTGCTGATTGGCCTCATTTTTGGAAGGCACACTAACGAGACATGTTATACTGAGAGAACTTGTCTGCAGCCATCCACTGATTGTAGAGACAGGTGAAAATACATTTTGTTTGGATAAATCCGTGATGTATGAACTACACCCCTAGTAGCAATACTTTACTTATTCTTTTATATAAATAGGAGAATTTTTTTTTTTTTTTAAATTTAAAAAGACTATAAGGATCTCTGGTAGTGCAATGGTTATGAATACAGCTGCTAACCTCAAGGTCAGCAGTTCAAAACTACCAGCTGTTCCACAGAAAAAAGATGAGGCTTTCTGCTCCCGTAAAGATTTACAGCCTCAGAAACCTTATACAGGTCACTATGAGGCACATAACCACCAAAAAGATTATAGCCATTGTTTAGAACTTAATCATTTCTGTTAGTGTCATTTGCCACAAGCTCAAAGACATGGAGCAGATATTATCTCAGTAGTCACAATTTTACCAATGCCTTACTTTGGGGCATTTAAAGTATAAATACTACTTTTGATTCTACAAGCAAAATAATTTCCATTTCCCTTTCTCCAGATAAAAGATGAGATGTTCGTGCCCTGACTTTCTTCCCTCTGTCTCTTTCTGCTATATAGCATCTTCTCAGACTCACAGGAGGTTCTGGAATGTGAACTACCCATTTACAGTCAACTTGATTATCTTTTTTCAAATATCTACCAAAGAATGGCTAGGAGAATAAGGTTGGTGCCTTTCCTTTCTGTATGTTTAGTAATCCCATTTGTATTAATAATTTCCTGACCATAAAACAGCAAAGATGAAAGACAATGGTAATCACTCATGTATAATGTCTCCCAATAAAAAATAAAAAAATAAAAAAATCTGATTATGTCTATATTCAGCTTCTGACTAAATGGAACCATAGGCAGAAAAGGAAAGGAACAAGGCAGGGATAATGTAAATCATACTCAAAATTAAATCAGTCAAAACTTAGTACAAAATGGGTTGTATTCATGAAATGTTACTTAGCTTTATCCATATTATCCAGAAAATTAACTGTAGGGATGTTTGTTGTTGTTTAGTGCTGTCAAGTCAGTTCCACTTACAGCGACTCTGGATAGGGTTTCCAAGTAGCAGCTGGTGGATGTGAACCAACAACCTTGTGGTTAGCAGCCCAGAGCTTATCCTACAGTGCCACACCAGGAACCAACAATAAGTATAATAATTAAGAAACTCTGGTAGTGGTTATGAGTCAGGCTGCCAACCTCAAGGTCAGCAGTTCGAAACTACCAGCGGTTCCTTGGGAGAAAGATGAGGCTTTCTGCTCCCATAAAGATTTACAGCCTCGGAAACCCTGTGCAGGGTCACTATGAGTTGGCGGCGACTCCACAGTACTTCTCAACAACAAACATTACACAGGAGTTCTGATGTGGCGCTGTGGGTTAATGCGCCAGACTGCAAAGCCATTTGAACTGCAAGGTCAGCGGTTCAAGCTCACCAGCTGATCCCTGGAAACCCTATACAGGGTCACTATGGGTTGGTACCAACTCGATGGCACTTAACAACAATAAACATTACATAAAACACCTGATGAAAAATGGTCTAAAAGTCGCAACAATTCTTTAAAATGCTGTTGATATTTGCTTACTAGCAGAATGCTTCATTTCCTTTCTCCCAACTCACAACCCAATATTAGAAATGAACTCACAATTTTGGCAAGGGCAGGTTATTTACTGTTACTCAGCCCTGGTATGGTGCTGAATAGTAAGTACTGGATTAACAGGTCAGTTTGAACCACAAGGTCGGCAATTCAAACTCACCAGCTGCTGCTAAAAATTCTATACAGGGTTCATATGAGTTGGAACCAATTCAATGACACACCTAACAACAACAACAACAAAACAAGATCATCGCAAGGACTCCTAGAGTGGTGCTGTAGGATCAGAACTGGACTTCAAACCACAAGGTCAGAAGTTAAAATCTACCAGCTGCTCCTCAGAAACCCTATACAAGTTCGAGCTGAGTCAGAACTGACTCATTGGCACTGAACAACAACAACATGTCATCCCAGAGAAGCCCAAGTGGTCCATGGTTAAAACTCTCAGCTGCTAACTGAAAGTTCAGCAGTTTGAACGCTACACCTGCTCCAAGGGAGAAAGATGTGGCTGTCTGCTTGCATAAAGAGTTGGTTGGTTGGTTATGTACTGCGGAGTCGGTTCCGACTCATAGTGACCCTGTACAGGGTTTCCGAGGCTGTAAATCTTTATGGGAGCAGAAAGCCTCATCTTTTTCCCACAGAACAGCTGGTAGTTTTGAACTGCTGACCTTAAGGTTTGCAGCCCAATTCGTAACCACTATGCTACCAGAGCTCCTTTGCATAAAGATTTATAGCCTTGGAAAGTCTTATGGGGAAGTTTTACTATAGTGTTGTTATGACTCAGTGCTAACGTGTTTGGGTTTATTTACTGTTCTTTTGTTTTTTATACCATTTCAAACAGAGACATTTTAGCATGCAGATGATTTACGTTTAACTTTCAGTTAGCAGCCTTCGGGTCAGGAAGACATGGAGATAGATGGGGGCTGTGGTAGACCATGCAGCATGAGTACTGTGCTAAGAGAAACACATTGGTCAGTGGCAACCATTGGGTCTCAGAAGCAATAAGGGCTCAGGGTTATCAATTTTGCTGAATTTTTCATGAGAAACTTGAAATTCAGAACTCTTAATATGATATCTCAATTTTGTATGCTGGCAGACCAAACAAAACAGATGTGACAATTCGATCCAGTTCTTGGGCCATCAATCTGCATGAAAATAGTTCTGTTGTTGTTGTGTGCCGTGGAGTCGGTTCTGACTCATAACGACCCTGTACAGGGTTTCCGAGGCTGTAAATCTTTACGGGAGCAGAAAGCCTCATCTTTCTCCCACGGAACAGCTGGTAGTTTCGAACTGCTGACCTTGAGGTTTGCAGCCCGATTCGTAACCACTACGCTACCAGAGCTCCTTGAAAATAGTTCTACATGAAATAAAATTGCTTGCACATCTAGCCCAGTCTGATCCACCGAGTCACATGTGGACTCTACTTCTTTTTTCCAGTCAAAACACTATCATGGTCAGAATTCTTACAGGGTGGTCTACATTATCTCAGCATATTTCTTATAACTTTTTTAAAAATCCCTTTTTAGAGCTGGATACACTGGCTAACTTAACTCATATCTTATAAGACAGATAGTAGTGGCCGACTTGGATTAATGGACTAAAAATGTTTTAAGTCAACACTAAAAATACTGCATTGTTGTTGTTGTTGTTATGTACTGTAGAGTTGGTTTCCAACTCATAGCAACCCTGTACAGGGTTTCTGAGGCTGTAAATCTTTACAGGAGCAGAAAACCTCATCTTTCTTCCACAGAACAGCTGGTAGTTTCAAACTGCTGACCCTGAAGCTCACAGCCCAATTCGTAACCACTACACTACCAGAGCTCCTATAAAAATAGATAAATACCACTAAGCATTTGCCACACTATCATTTCGTCAGTGCTTTCACAACCATCCAGAAAATGATGCAAGGTAAGTCATGTGACTGGGTAAAGGTCACCTATCTACAGCAATGAAACTAGCCTTCCTGAGTAGACAGAGGCAGGAAATCCTTCCAAAGCTCCCGAGTATATCTAGCCATAGAGTTTGTCCTGCCAAAATTATACACTGCCAATGAAGAGAACTCCTTAAGTCTTACCAAATTTAAACCTTACATTATATTATCAAGTGTATATTGATATGGAAAAGGAGGCATTTTTATTTACCTGTAATTTTAAAAGATCTTCTGTGTAATTTTTATCAGCTGAGGAATTATGGGCTATTAATATGTTAACCCACGGATAGATTAAGCCATAATGACTACAGGTGTTCATCTGAAACATAAAAGACATTTATGATAAACAGAATATATATAAATGACTTTCTTCATCCATTTCATAAGATGCAAGCCATCATTAATCCTCCGTCATGTTATAGAATTAGGCATACACTCCCTAGGATCAGGAACAGAAGTATTTCAGAATGTAGTTTCCTTTCTAGCAAAAACAACACTGCTTTTAAGTTAATTACACTCAAACAATAATACTGAAAATAATTTTAATTTATACTACTTTCCTTGGGAGGCAAAATATTTTCCATAAATTCTCAAGACTTAAAATGCCATAAAGCCCCAGTCCCGATTCACAAGAACTTGCTGACTTCCCAATTAACCTATATTACCAATGGCATTCATAGGATAAAAAATGGACTGCCAACCATAAGGTCAGCGGATCAAACCGACCATCCATTCCTTTAAAACCGGATAAAGAGTTGCTAGTCAGGATCAAGTTGACAACACTTAAAAACAACAACAACCACCTACGATGTCCAGGAGAGACAATAGGGCTGGAAGAGAAGAAGGGGGCAAGAAGGGTAGAAAGGAGCTGTTACAGCTTCCCCAAGTGCTACAAAGCAAATCGTGTGTGTGCAGCCCACAGGAAATGGCAGGTAGGTAAGGAAGTCTCCCTCCCCTGAGCCCTCTGCAGTTCCTCTCCCATCGTGGAAGTCTGCAGATGTCTCTTTTTTCTTGTTCTACTTTAGGTTCCTCCACTGAGGGGGTGCAGACAGGGTGACGTTTTAGAGAAAGTCCCTTCCACATGCTTTGAACCCTGAGGTACTACTATAAGTAAGCAATATAGGAGATGCTGGGGGTATCTTTGGAACATATACTCACATTTAAAATGTGGGCAACTTTAGTCAAAAAGAGGTTTTATGTATTATCTTAACTCCTGATTAAATAAGTTGTCTGGTAATTCAAACTAGCTTTGATTCTAAGCCATTAAAAATAAGAATGCACATTACTGAACATAATGTTTAATATATTATTCAATTATCTTACCAGATCCTCTGAAGTTCGCAATGGTATGGAGTCAGGAGGCTGTCTCTTAGATAATCTCCAGATGTAATGTGATGTGAGCTTGAAAAACAGTTCCTGAAGTACCACATCTGGCAGACATGCTACGAGCTGAGCTTCCCAAAAGTCTACCAAGAGCTGAGGGATCTTATCTTCATCTTTACCACAAAGCGCCTTGTAAAACAGTAAAACAAGCCCTGATGTCCCCAGATAAATGTAATTTGTTGACCAAGTTACAGCTGGACATCACATCATGTGAGTCATGCAATTTACCATAAGCATTAGTGCCACAGTAAAAGCAAATTTTTGTTTTTTCCTTATTTCAGCAGGAAACCGATTACTGGATATATATATATGTAAATTCCCCAGATGCACTCTTTTGATTTGTAATTTTATCTTAATAAACTGATAATGTATAGTCTGTTTTTTTCAACCAACACATAAATAAATGAAATACTTGCTTCGCTTATTGGCTCTCTTTTCCGTAACAATTTTATCAGAGTATCTAGCTAAGTTACATTTTCATAGAGACAAACCTTAAAGAAGGACTCTGCTTCTTCAATTTCAATCTTGTCATTCTTCTGTAAACCGAGGATTGAAGCCACAATCAATCCAGGCTGGGTCTCCTTCAAGTGAACCGCAAGCTCAGTTGGAAAAATCTGTCCCTTCTGCTGATGAATCAGAAGCCGAGGTTCCAGAATGAAGCCGCATACCAATTTCATCTTCAGATAAACAGAAATTTGTGAATAAAATGTATACTGCATTCAGCTTGTCAATCTAGGAAATGCATGCTAGTGCATTCAAGATTCATGGTTTAGCTATTGATAATTTACTGTTATTGCAATCTTTATTTTACTTACAAGGGCTATTTACTACCCAAAGAAGAATACCACTGTTGAGTTAACTTATCATAAACATTCTTAATATTTACATTGTTAAGAAACAAAATATCCCAATCCAGAAGAGAGCCTTATATTCAGATCTACTACATTTAAAAATCTGTAACAGCAAGTTTTTTTCAAAATACTAGTAAAAAAATTCATTTTTATAAGAATTCTACTCTCCAACACAGAAAATGCCTCAGTGTCAACTTGCTCTCATCACACAAAATCCATCATTTGAACCTCTGAAGTTTTAGGATCAAAAGTCATATTGTGAGCATCTGACCAATGTCAAGCAACAAAATTAGTAGCAGAGTCAGACTGCCTGGTTCAAATCCTGGCTCTACTACTCACCAGCTGTGTGGTTTTGGATAAGGTATTTAATCTTGTCTCAGTTTCCTCAATTTTATAATATATACACAGTGAAAGCACAAATTAACCATGTAGAATTATTACAAGAATTAACATATTCATGGAGCTTTAAACAAGCCTGGTACATAATAAATGCTCAGTGTTACACTATTTCTTTCCCCTTAAATGATTAACGTCTTCCGCTCATGTGCCCTAAATGGCATCTTCTCTAAGAGCACTTCACCTTTTCTTTGAGATAAGGCTCTTCTGTGATTTTCACAAGTAGAAGTTACCTCTAAAGCTACTGAAGTCCCATGGCTCAGTTAAAATCCCATTTGCTGTATTTACATGCATATCACTTTGTTTTGTTTCTGGGTTGTCGGAGAGGGGCAGAGCCTGTCCATTCTTCAGCACCAAGCACAGTGCTCTGTATATATCTGACCCTCTGCACTGAAAAGTTTTTGAATACCCACTGCTGCCATTTATCAGTCTTAATTCTTTTTAATTTCTCAGATCTAAAGCCCCAAGTACCCCCATTTTGGGTCACTTCCCTTCTAATACTAAGTCTGTTTTCCTTACAACCAAGAAAAGCTGTGCTAGAAAGGCTTCATAGGAAAGCCAAGCACCTCGGGACTGAAAAACAAAACCAAACAAACTTGTTACCGATGAACTGATTCCAACTTACAGCATTCCTCTTGTTGTTAGGTGCCATCGAGTCGGTGCCGACTCATAGCGACCTTATGCACAGCAGAACCAAACACTGCCTGATCCTGGGCCAATAAAATGGCCCCGTAGGGTTTTCAAAGCTGTACGTTTTTTTGGAAGCAGACTGTCATTCTTTTCCTGTAGAATGCTGGTAGGCTTGAACCACTGACCTTTCGGTGTGTACCTGAACACTTAACCACTACGCCACCAAGGCTCTACCTACCTAAGGACTATCCACTGCTATGTAGTCAATTCCAACTTACAGCAACCTAGGAGGCAAAGGAGAACTGCTCTTTGGGGTTTCCAAAACTGCATATCTTTACAGGAGCAGACAGCCTCATCTTTCTCCCACAACTAATGACTTGTACATCCAATTTTAGTCTGATGTGATTACCCCATAGGGCTCCATACCTCTGAATAGATTTTCATTTCATTTGTGTATGTGTCAAGATCTCCTATTTTTAGAGCCATTGTCGCCTTGGCCAACGTCACTAAGATGGATGAAAACCCAGAAGTATCCAGCTTCTTAAGATAGCTCATGGCGATTAAAGGATTAATATTCTTCATGGAAGGACTACAGAGAATATGGGGCAGTTGCTTCGGCTCTGCGACATAAAACATCTGAATAATCTTTGCTGTCAATTCCTTTGGTGAGCATGAACAAGAAATAAAATATCCGTCAGCCAATAGAAAGCAAAAAATCAACAAATATATGAAGTTAATATTAAAATATCCCAATTAAGATAAAATTATGTTTTGATTTAAAAAGACAGTGACAGGGAGGAACACATGGAAGATGTGAGATGACCTGAATAGATCTCTTTGTGATGTTATAATAAAGAAAAGGCAATGAAAATGTATACTGGGTTGTGACCAACATCTCAGGTTTTAACAGGAGTTCAGAAGAAAATAAATGCTTGATTAAATTTCACTTGAAAATCCATTCTAAAAGATAGCAACTTAGTATATCATATATTCAATGAGATCATTTATGGGAAAAATCTCATTTCTCTCTCAACACTCTAAAACATTTGGTATTGCAATTTTCAACTTAGCATATTTGCATTCAACTATTTTAAATAATAATTGAGGGGCTAAGAATATCCTTAATAATGTCTTAAGATCACTGGGTCAAGATTTCCTACGTGAACCTTAGATAGAAGGCTAGGAGAATGGACAGACTAGTGTTGGAAGGAAGGCTCTCGATGAGAGGACAGGCAGTTCCATATTCTACCACTATTCTAAAGACAAGACACTGCCACACTGGACAGGTCACTCACCACAGTAGACCACATTCCTCCATTTGTATAATAAGGAAGTATGAGAAGACAATCCCTAAACTCTTTTCTAAGCTATAATCCCATGATTATAAATGTAGAAAAGAGTACATTAGTTACTCTATTAGGAAAAAAAAATTATTACTAAAGAAAAATATTTTGAATTTAAGTTTAAATAGTATTACGTAAATTATCAAATTGTAAAGTTACATATATTAGACATAACTAAATAGAAAACTATATTCACTTCACTTAATTCTTCATCCAAGTTTTCATAAAGTGAATGATTAATATAAAAGATTAATCCCCTCTCGTATTTCTGCACTCCATCTTCTACTGCCCAATCCACTCGGGCCAAAACGTCAGCCATAGACAAACCAGACATCTTATAGTATGGCAAGGCAAGATGGGAATGCTGGGTATCAAGCCTAATGGAAATGAAACAAAAAGACTTTTGTCATCTCTAAGCCTAGGTATCTAAAACATTCTACAGAACATACTTTCTACAGAACATAGGTCACAAAAATACGTTTGTCATTTGTAGTTGGAACAAATACCTGTTTTATTCTACCAAGTCATTCTAATTAATGCGGTTCTTTTTGCCTGCTCACAATTAATATTGAAGAACAACAACAAAAAAAAACAACTCAGTAAGTATTTTTTAGTACTTATGATGTGGCTCTCAAATAAGAGCTATGTATCTCCACAGATAGGAACAACTACAAAAAAAATCTGTGTTTATTATTTTATAATCATTAATATGAATCAAGTAAACCTTTATAACAATCTTACAGAAAAAGATTTCCTAAATATTCTTATATATAAAAACGACTATTTATCCTACTGTCCCATTCTGGCATCATAAAAACATCAACTAGTAAGATTACAATCACAACTGACACCTCTTCTTTAAGCTAATATAACTTTAATTAATAGCAATGTGGTTGTTTCAGAGATTTTTAACTGGGCATGTTCCCCTCAAGGCCTGAAAACAAATTTCAAATTCCTAAATTCAGTGGTGGTAGGCAACTCAAGAATTGAGACTTACTGCTCATTTATTACACTGTGACGCTTTGAAAGCAGGGAATGGATTCATCTTTCTAGAAGCTATAAACCTAATACAATATCTAGCAAACAATATGTGCTCAATAAATGCTTATGGAATAAAGGAGTAAATCAGCTACCTCCCCTCATGCAAATACTAGAGACAGAAAAGCTAATGAGTAAACCATCTCAAGCTTTGAGCACCACCAACCTGCTGTAACAGTCTCCAAGGTGCCCACAGCTTTCTTTAAATGCTTCTAAGAGGTCTGCCTTCTCTCCAGGCTCCAGCTGGTGATCATCCATCAGAGCAGCTCTCACTAACAGATGAGCCTCGCTGAGAAGGTGGATGCAGCTCTGGGTTCTCACAGTCTTGTAGGTATTACTATAATCCACCTAAAGCAAAAAAGACAAACAGCTATTGTTGCTGGAGAAAGATCCTTAAAAATGTCCCAGTTCCTAACAGTGTCTATATATTTTATGAGTACATTTTACATTTGAAAATATCAAATCATAAAATTAGATAAGTTATTATGTATCATTGTGATACAGTCTAGCAAAAGTATTTCCTCCACAATCTATAAGGAAACCTGATACTTGTTAAGTGCTGTTAACAACTTATAGTGGCCCAGTATAGGGTTTCTGAGAAGTGGCTGCTGAATACGACATAACTGTAAATACTACCTTGGTAAACAGTTCTGATCATTAGAGAACGTCTGGATAATTCTCAAACAAGGTTCAAATCACAATGTAGTTTGTACAATTATTACTATTGTTCTCCAGCAAAGAAATGCTAAAGCAAATGTAAGATATAAGGAGGTAAAGCATATCAACAGAAAATTTCAAAGGGCAGCTCCAGATGACAAAGTCAAATACTATAATGATATGTGCAAAGATCTAGAGTTAGAAAACCAAAAGGGAAGAACATGCTCAGCATTTCTCAAGCTGAAATTTCTCAAACTGAAGAAAAATTCAAGCCTTGACTTGCAATACTGAAGGATTCTTTGGGCAAAATACTGAATGATACAGAAAGCATCAAAAGAAGATGGAAGGAATAGAGAGTCACTGTATCCGAAATAAACGTCGATATTCAACCATTCTAAGAGGTAGCATATGATCAAGAGCCAATGGTACTGAGGAAGAAGTCCAAGGTACATGGCTTAATATTGAAGAACAACAAAAAAGCATTGGTAAAGAACAAGGGTCCACTGGGGAGTCCTGAGCCCATGGACAAGGACCTAGCCACGGAGGGCTAGAACTGAGAGCAAAGCGTCCAGCTGATATGAAGTGAAGGGAGATGCACAAACACACCCAAACTTGTAGATAGTACTAATCTGACCTAGCCTTGATGGCTTGATGATGAGAACTCAATTAGAGGAAGATAAAACACAATTTTTTGATAAAGACAACAAGTGTAAATTGCTTCAATTTGATGAACTTGATCTATACTTATGGATGTAGTAGCTCAAAGTACCAACTGAGAGGGAAGGAGACTTCACATCAACTAGCAATGCTATCCCCTATGTATACAGGGTAGAGAGGGAGGGGCAACTTAGATATTGGCTACCTAAAATGAGGGGGCTTCAAGAGGGAGTTTAGTTTCAGAGTGTGTGGGAGAAGGTAGAATCCCCACTGAATCGTTTTCATGTTGTCTAGACGAGTCTAGTGAAAGACATGGAGACAAGACACTTATGATTCAATAGTGAGTAATTGTTATCATGACTAATTGTGACTGTCACAACTGTAAAGGTATGTTTTGTAACAAAAATGGAGAGTAACTAACCTTACAGTCCAGGAAAAAGAGGACCCTAGGAACATCAAGAAAGAAAATCATGAGCAGAATGTGGGACCCTACCCAGAGAAGCAGCGACATCAGAGATGGAAGCAGAGATGAGAACCTAGAGAGAAAGAGCAGCTGAGGACTCTAGATTCATGGAAAGAGAAAGGATGTGTTCTGGTGGCCAGTAAGCAGGCTTGCAGTATGTATGTACCCTTTGGTTGTTTAAATTACTATATATTCCTGAGTTTTTGTGTACATCTCCCCCCAAAAAATAAAAAAACAAAACAAAACAGAGGGAATAGAAGCAAATACTGTTGAATGATGATGCATGGAGGAGATTGTAATCATTGCAATGAAATGATGAGTGTAAAACCGATGTTCTCCAATGTAAACGATCACTCAATTCACACAAAAAACTTAAAAAAAGAAAAAAAAGACCAAGGGTCCAGGGATTGATGGAATACATATTGAAATCTTTCAACAAACTGATGCAGCAGTGGAGGTACTCACTCATGTATGCCAAGTAATTTGGAAGACAGCTACCTGGCTGGTCAACTGATTGGAAGAGATCTGTATCGGTGCCCACTGCAAAGAAAGGTGACCCAATGGGAATGCAGAAATCATCTGACAGTATCATTAATATCACATGCAATTTTCTAAATATACTTCAAAAATGGCTGCAACAGTAAACTGACAGGAACTGCCAGAGGGTCAAGCCAGATTAAGACAAGGACGTGGAATGAGGGATATCATTTCTAACATCAGATGGATCTTGGCTAAAAGCATAGAATACCAGAAAGATGTTTATCTGTGTTTTATTGACTATGCAAAGCCTTTTGACTGTGTGGCTCATGACAAGCAATGGACATTGTGGAGAATGAGTATTCTGGAACACTTAACTGTGTTCATGAAAAACCTGTACATACACCAAGAGGCAGTCATTCAAACAGAACAGGGGGATAAGAATGGTTTAAAATCAGAAAAAGTATATGCCAGGGTTTCATGCTTTCACCATACTTATTCAGTCTGTATGAGAAGCAAATCCGGGAAGCTGGATTATATGATGAAGAACATGACATCAAACCACAGGAGGGAGATTCATTAAAAATCTGTAATATACAGATGATACAACCATTGCTAAAAAGTGAAGAGGATTTTAAATACTTACTGATAAAGATAAAAAACTACAGCCTTCAGTATGGGTTGCACCTCAATGCAAAGAAAACAAAAATCCTCACTACTGGACCAATAAATAGCATTATGATAAATGGAGAAAAGATTAAAGTTGTCAAAGACTTCATTTTGCTCGAATCCACCATCAAAACAATAGCCACAAAATCAAACGACATAGTGCATTAGGAAAATCTGTTGCACAAGACCTCTTTAAAGTGTCCAAAGAGTGCAGATGTCAGTTTGAGGACTACAGTGCACCTGATACAAGCCATAGTATTTTCAGTTGCTTCATACGCATTGCCTTCTTTCCCCATACTTATTCAACCAGTATGCTGAGCAAATAATCCAAGAAGCTAGGTTATATGAAGAAAAACATGGCATCAGGAATGGAGGAAGACTCATTACCCTGCGATATGCAGATGATGCAACTTTACTTGCTGAAAGTGAAGAAGACTTAAAATATTTACTGATGAAGATCAAAGACCACGGCCTTCAGTATGGATTACATCTCAATGTAAAGAAAGCAAAAATCCTCACCACTGGACCAATAAGCAACATTCTTATCAAAGGAGAAAAGACTGAAGTTGTCAAGGACTTCATTCTCCTTGGATCAATTATCAACACTCATGG